ACCAGATCCTCTGGAGCCTATCCGGGAGCCCTCGATTTACCGCGCCCGCAGCGGCATTTTGTAGCCCTCTGGGTGGAAGAGCCGTAAGTCTTCACAGAAGCATAAAGCCTCATCATTCTGCACCTTCAAACTGCTGAATTTGGCATTAACAGCCCAATTCATAGCTAGTATGCCACAACCTGTCTTGTCATTATGCTTTAGGAAACATCGTTTTTAGTGTGAAAATTGAGAACCATTTTAGTGTCCAAAAATAAAAGAATAGTCAACTAAATGCTGATGCCTCGTGGAATATCATGCTATAATTTTAAACATAATCTAGCATAAACATAATTATTTCTACATCTAGGGGATAGCCCTTATCTAAATTACAAAGTAAAAACTACAAGTCCCAGATTAAGGTGTATTTTAAAAACCTATTTTATTAAAGCAAATTCATAAACACATACATCCATCTCCATACAAACCTGTATGTGTATGCACAGTGAATAGAGTATAAATGTGGGACAATCTGCTCAGCTCGTGATGGCATGAATACATACGTATAGTTGGGCTCCTGGCTTCTAAATTCACCTTTGTGTGGTTGCCCCTCACAACTGCTCCTAAGGTTACTTGCAATAGCCATCAGTGAGAAAGTACTGGAACGTGCAGCTTCATATGATTATGTGGATGTATGGGGCCACCTGCTGTGTGGTGAATCCACAGTGCCTAGGAACACGTCCAGTGGCTAATCCCAAACCACGTCCTTATTCACTTTCGGGGCACCCCCCTTCAATATCTGTGACCCATGCCTTTGCTCCCACTCCAGATATAATAAAAATAGCAACATCAGCCTCAGCTATAGCAAGAACAGGACTAACGTATGATGGGTGTTGTATTAGTCTAGGTACATTAGAGAAACAGATCAATAGAAATTCATATGTATAAGAGGGCGTTTTATATAGAGGTTAAGTGCACATCAAGAAAACATCCCAACCCAGTGCTGCCCAAGCCAACAAGTCCAACATTAACCTAGTAACCCATATGTCCAACACCAATCCACAAAGTCCTCCTCCATCTCACAAAACAGACGCAATGATGCCGACTGCAGGAGGAAAGCCAAATCAGTGAACAAATAAGCATCTCAGCACTGGCAGGGTTCTCCACACCGTGCTCCAGCATCCAGGGCTGCATAGGGTAGGTCCATGTGGCTTCTCCTCAGGGATGTCTCGCAGGAAGTGAGACTTGCAAGCTGAAGCAGGGAACTGGCTAAGGCAGCTGCACCCTGGTCCGATCATCACAAAGCAAGAGACCAGAGAACTAGAAAGGCGAGGTTCACCAAGCCATTTATCTCTCCGCCTTTCAATTAACCCCACGTGTTTATTGGCCAGGTTGGCACAATAAACGTTAACTGTATCAAGTGTCCTCTATGGGCCAGACACCTAGCAAACCAAAAAATTCACAGTCAATTCCAACTCCTAGCAACCTTATGGGATAAAAGCAGAAGGTTTCCAAGACTGCAGCAGCCTGTGTGGAAGCAGACTGCCGCATCTCTCTGCTGCTGAGGGACTGATGGTTTGCACTGGAGCCCAATCACTTTGTCCTGACACCGCCAGGGCTCCAGGTACATACACTCAAAAACTCAAACCCACCGCCTTCAAGTCCATTCTGACTCATAGTGACCCTAGGGGACAGAGTAGCACTGTGGGTTTGCAGTGCCATAAATCTTCCTCACAGCAGGAAGTCTCAACTTTCTCCCTAGGACCATCTGGTGGGTTTGAACCACTGACCTTGTGGTCAGCAGCACAACGTATAACCCATTATCCCACCAGAGCTCCTTTCGAAGTTTAGGCACTTCACATGATTGTTCTCACACATGCACAGAATGAGAGCGAGAGAAGCGGGAAAGGACGTAGATGTGCATTTCACTGATGAGGTGGGTTGTTCAAGAGACACGCAGCACACAAAGGGCTAAGGAGAAGGAAATGTGAACTTCCATTCGTTAAGATTTCCTTATCAAAGGCTCTCAGCGTTTTTTAATTCAGAATACTTTTGTGGTTTTAATTAGTTATCTGAGTGATTTTGTGATGCATATCTTCCAGTGCACATGGGGAAGCCTGTGTTTGCTTGGGCAAACACAAGTGAAAACTTCTAAAGAAAGTGGAACATGAGGAAATCTTTATTGAACGACTCAGTGTCTGTGAGTCTATCTGAAAGCTCACGCTTTCAATCACCATGCTTACCTGGTTACCTGCAAGCCATGTAAATATGACCCTGGCTAAGTGAATTAAGAGAAGGCCTCTGAAATATTGTAAAAAAACAATATGCTAATGCCATGAACACAAGACAGAAGCAGGGAAGAGTGTTCATGCAGTGTTGTCTTAATATTTCTATCAGCATAGGTGTTTCCCACACACCAATTTTTTGAAACATGGTTATTTAAACTCAATCAATTAATTAAACAGTTGTATTTTATATAATCAAATAGTATATTAACTTAGTTGATTGTATTAATTTAAATTAAAGTCATTCATTTAATCTAATTTTATAATAATATATAAATATTTAATGAATTGCTTCAGGTCCAATAACTGGAAAGTGACAGAAAGATTGAAACTAAATATTATATTTGAATTCTAAAGTTTTTTTTGCTGTTTCCCAAAGAGACATGATATGGCAGCCACGTTCAGATGGATTTGAGGATCCAAGAATGAAAAACAATATTCTATTTAAAATCAAGATTTATCAAAACTCAGAAGGAGTCAATTCTGTTTGGAAACTTTATTAAGTGACAAAGGTGACACGATTCTGTCTCCTGCTGAGATGGCACGGAATGTGTCAGACCCTTTACCCGCCAGTGTCTATTTCAATCCCTGTGCTGAGGTGCCTACCGCTCACCAGAAGGAGAGGAGCCCTTCCCCTACGTGACAGGCAGACAGAAAGATCTCACCACCATCAAGGGAAGATTGTGGGCCACCCTTGTGTTTTTATATTAGTTCACGAAGAAACACTATGAAATACACACTCAAACAATAAACAAACAAGCAAAGCTCTTCTAGGCCTTATCCCCCCACCCATATTTTTAGAACCTGATTTCTAGCTCTTTACATACAGATTGCCTTTCTTTTATTTCTCTTCAGACATTTTAAAATTCAACATTCACAGAACCTAAGACCATCTGAAAAGTCAATATTAGAACTAATATTTGTTGAGTGACTGAAACTGCGTGGGAATGAAAGATCTCTTTCACACAGATTAAACACTTCTGTGTCTACCAACTGATGTGTGCCCAGGCTACACCGTGCTGAAATCTAGATTCACCAGTTCTCTGACAGTAGTTCCATATCCATCCTCAATTATTGGCATCTTGAAAAGTAAGCTAAGAAACCATGGCATGTGCAGTCAAAATTTCATTTTACGAGGAACCAAGAATCCTATCTGAGTCACTACCATGGTTGATGTTCTTTGTATAACCTTCAGAAGAAAAGTAAGATTTCAACCATCTAAATGGTTTCAACAATTCAAGTTTCAGGTTGGCCATCCCTCCTAGGGTCTCAAAAGCTAACTCTATAAGCCAAGCGTTCAAAAACATACAACCGACAGACTGAGGCACTCCTGTGGGCTTGCCTGTGGTTCAATGTGTCAAATCTTCAGTGAAGTAGCAGAGACTGTGGAGAGGAGAGACTTAGTGGAGGGAGTGGGATGAGACATAAGCAATATTCAACTAAATTCTATTTCAGACTGTGTTGTTTTTCATAAGACTGATAAAAAGGGGGTGGGGTGTTGAAATAGGTAGAAGATGAACAAGGATTGGTGTTTTAGGGTGAGCATTGAACTGCTTGCCACAAAGTCAAACCCCCCGTCTGCTCTGGGGGAGAAAGTCGAGGCTATCTGCTCCCATAAAGATTGACAGCTTTGGAAACGGAATGTAAGGTCACTGTGAGTTGGTATCAATTTGATGGCAATGGGTTGTATAGATGAACAATGATAGTGGGAGAGAGGGGAAGATTTTGGACTTGGAGTGACTCTTGTCAATGAGAAGAGTTTGCACTGCAAAGGAGTGTAGGGCTGCCTAAGAGGAGCTTTAGGAGTAAAGGGAACTTTGAAACTCTCTGAATCATATTCAAATCAATATTAAATTTGTATGAAAAACAATGGATCATTTAGCAGCAACAATAGTGAAACCCACAATGCTGAGAACATTTAGAAATAAGATAGTATACCTTGCAACACACAAAAAACCCCAAAAACAAAACCGTGGATAAAATACTGAACTAAAAGACATTTTGAGGCACAAGAGAGCACATGGGCACTGCCACCTTCTTTCAGCTGGCCCTGGGAAGGTCCTTTTGGAGATACTGATATGGAAATGGGCAAAGGTGAGATCTCTCTTTTCTTCTGAGATCAGGGGTGTGGAAGAGAATGTACGCCTGAGAGTCCTACGGTCATCTTTACCACCCTGTGGAGCATCAAGGCCACACAGAGTAACCATATTTCTCAAGCCAGAGTTACTAGAAAAGTAAGGGCACACCCGGATGCTGTGGCATGGTCAAATTGTTACCAACATTTCTGCACACGTACTCTTGAGTTCTGTAGTACTTACTTTACTGCACATGGGCAAACAATTCCAAGATTAGCACTGAACAATAGATCACACTTTAGGCAGCCCTACAGTAAGGCAAGGCTAAGAGATAGTTTTCTAAAGATAGTTTAAGAACTTGGACCCAGCCATGCTTAAAGTAAAAACACCCATAAGTTGTCTTGGTGAGATGCTCCATTTAGCTCAAGTTGGGTTGCTATTGATGCAAACTGAAGAAGGCTTTACTAAGATGCAGGCTTGGGACACTGCCACTCCTTTGCTCCTAACCTCCCCCCCGCCATTAATCCACCACAGCATTTGTTCCCAACATCAATTCAGACACCAGCTTCAGAGCCCTTCTAAAAACAGGACTCAATCCAACCTCCCATCAGCAATCAAATAACCAGAGTTTCAAAAGGGATCGAACAGTGATTTCAACTCTTACCTGTCTCAGATCATACACACTCAAGATGATGGAGAGAACCGACAAGATGATGATGGCTATGGAGTATTCTGTGTAACCTTGACTCAGCCACAAAGTTAGGGTGAAGGCTTGGAACATATAGAACGGATTTAAAACCTACAGGTATAAAAATGACATTTGGGTTACTTGTATGGACTTTAGTAGTAGTCAAAATACTATCATTTCTTTATAGAATGTCATTATTTTTTCTTATTTTTACAACATACAATAAATAACCTCTAATATTAAAAAGAAAACAAAACACCAGTTTAATAGAACAAAGTATTCTTGCATTGAGGGAGTATTTGAGTGGAGGCCCAATGTCCATCTGCTACCTTAATACTAAACCTATAAATATATGCATATACATCTACTTCCCCATCATCATACATACATATATTTACATATGTACATGCCTTTATTTAGACCTCTATAAATACCTTTTGCCTCCTAGCGCTTTCCTCTATTTCCTTTTACTTTCCTCTTGTCCCACCACCCTTAATGCAAGAATATTTTGTTCAATTAAACTGGCATGCCAGTTGCTCATCTTCCTGACACAATCGTTGACGACAAATGGGTGCATAAGGAAATGTGGTAAAGAAAGCTGATGGTGTCGGCTATCAAAAGATATAGCACCTGGGGTCTTAAAGGCTTGAAGTAAACAATCAGCCATCTAGCTGAGAAGCAACAAAGCCCACATGGAAGAAGCACACCAGCCTGTGTGATCATGAGGTGCCGAAGGGTTCAGTTATCAGGCATCAAAGAACAAAAAATCATCTCATTGAGTGCTCACCTCCCCGATAGGATCACTGAAAACAAATGGGTGCATAAGCAAATGTGGTGAAGAAAGCTGATGGTGCCCAGCTATCAAAAGATATAGCATCTGGGTTCTTAAAGGCTTGAAGGTAAACAAGCTGTCATTTAGCTGAGAAGCAACAAAACCCACATGGAAGAAGCACACCAGCCTGTGTGACAACGAGGTGTTGAAGGGATTAGGCATCAAAAAACAAAAAAAATCATATCATTGTGAATGAGGAGGAGTGCAGAGTGGCACCCAAAGCCCATCTGTAGGCAACTAGACATCCCCTTACGGAAGGGTCTCAGGGAGGAGATAAGCCAGTCAGGTGCAGTGCATCAATGATGAAACATACAACTTCCCTCTAGTCCCTAAATGCTTCCTCCCCACCCACTATCATGATCCCAATTCTACTTTACAAATCTGGCTAGACCAGAGGATGTACACTGGTACAGATAGGAACTGGGAATCCAGGATAGATGATCACTTCAGGACCAGTGGTGAGAGTGGCAATACTAGGAGGGTGGGGTGAAAAGGGGGAACCAATTACAAGGATCTACATATAACCTCCTCCCCGGGGGATGGACAACAGAAAAGTAGGTGAAGGGAGACATTGGACAGTGTAAGATATGATAAAATAATAATTTGTAAATTATCAAGGGTTCATGAGGGAGGGGGAGTGGGGAGGGAGGGGGGAAATGACGAGCTGATGCCAAGGGCTTAAGTGGAGAGCAAATGTTCTGAGAGTAATGATGGCAATGCATGTACAAATGTGCTTTACACAATTGATGTGTGTATGGATTGTGATGAGCCCCCAATAAAATTATTTAAAAATAATTTTTTAATTACTTAGAACTCTATTAATTTGAGTGGAAACTGTACTGGAGTAAAATATCTTTTCTTTATTTTTTTATAAAATCATTTTATTGGGGGTCAGAGATCCAAGCTCTCTGTCTGAAGAGATGTGCCAGAGACTATGGCTCCTAGGCTATAGGGTACCATCTGGCCCAAGATCAGGAAACTGTGAGCTAGGACAAAAGGCTTCCTGGCCCATGGGGGGAAAAGCCAAGGGACCACATGCATAAGAGACTGAGGACCAGAGACACTCTTTGCTGGCAGGGGAGAGGTGCTGTAGTGGACCAATGACTATATCCTGACTATGAGCTGAGTCTGACTTGTGGCAACTGTGTTCGTCTGAGTACTTTAGAGAAATAAATCCACTGAAACTCATGTGTAAGAGAGAGTTTTATGTAAAGGTTAAGTGAGCATCAAGAAAACATCCCAACCCAGTGCTGCCCAAGCCCACAAGTTCAATATTAACCAATTAACCCATATGTCCAACACCAATCCACAAAGTCCTCCATCTCACAAAGCAGACGCAATGATGCCGACTGCAGGAGGAAAGCCGAGTCAGTGAATGTGTAAGCATCTCAGCATTGGCAGGGGTCTCCACACAGATGCTCCAGCACCCAGGGCTGCATCAGGGTAGGTCCATGTGGCTTCTCCTTGGGGATGTCTTGCAGGAAGTGAGCCTTGCCAGCTGAAGCAGGGAATTGCTAAGGCAGCTGCACCCTGGTGCGACCATCACAAAGCAAGAGACCCGAGAACTCGAAAGGTGAGGCTCACGGAGCCATTTATCCCTCCACCCTTCAATTAATCCCACATGTGTTTATCGGCCAGGTTGGCACAATAAACTAATTCAGCAACCTATTAACTTCCCTACTAAATCCCGTTAATTGTAAATATTGTCTGGGAGTTCTTTGTAGCCACTGACAGGAATTATTGAGCGTAGCCTAGAAACAGAGTGCCATGGGACTAACGGTTGGCATCCGAATACGGTAAAGAAGTATGCAGGTATGTCTGACCCTCATTTGGGGCAATAAGGAAGTCAGATATATCTACCTCGATTGCCATTTACTGCAGAGACATGTCAGTACATAGACTGTAATACAGTGGAAGCAAACTTCTTTTAAATTTAAGCACTCAGAGCCACACCCACAAATTAATCATTTAATTTTGAACTTAAAACATTTCTACTATTAACAAAAATCCCACAATTTAACTTTTAAAAGGGGATTTACTCAGAATGGAGGAGAAATATGATTCTGTTTAAATTTTCTGTTTGTTTGATTTTCTTTTGAGAATTTGGGACAATTTAATTGTAATCTTATTTTTGCCTGTAACCACAGGCTATAGATGGAATCAACTCGGACTATGAACATAAATGCAACACAGTATGTTCTTGGTATTTCAAGTCTTAGCAGGAGCCCCTATGAGTCAGTCAGGGCAACATGACCTTCCCTTGAACAAGGATGGGTACTGAAGAGAAACGTACACACACACACACACACACACACCCCAAACTCACTGCCCTCAGTCAATTCCGACTCATAGCGACCGTATAGGACAGGGTAGAAGTGCACCCATGGCTTCCTGAGGCTGTAATTCTTTACAGGAGTAGCAAGCCTCATCTTTCCTTCACAGAAGAGCTGAGGGTTTCCAGCTGTCGACTTTAAGATTAGCAGCCCAAATCGTAACGTCTCTGTCCCCAGACTCCTTGTTATCCGCAAGGCTGCAGGGACAATAATAGGCGGTCTCTGTCCTCAGCCCCAATCCTGGTCATCCGGACATGCAGTGTGGGGTTTCTCAAAAGCACCTTGAATTTTTCAGCTTCCCTCAACTTTTCCCCTTTTGGAACTGCTGACTCCTCTTTAATAATTATAGCAGAGAGGGCAAACCTAAGGGGCTAGAGAGTGGCCGAGTGATGTCCAAACTGAGCGTGAATTTAAGAACCAGTGTTAATGAAGCCAGGGCTCTGTTCATAGTTATTCATTAAATAAAGCATTAGCTAAAATGAATGTTGTTCCTTTCTTAGCTTGCCTTTTAAAAATTCTCTAACATATTAAACACAATTCTACTTTAGTCCTAAAAATCAACTGACATCTGGTTATGAAGCTGAATAAGTTTCATCTTAAGAGTATTTTAAGGTCTTGTATACATTTTATATGTTAAATATCTTAGCCCTTAATGTTTCTTATTATTTCCATTTTAACATACTTTACTTACAAATTATAGCTCTTCTGTTTACTTGACATTAAATGCTCTAATCGTAGATTATGCACTAATGATAATACAATTTGATTTTGCATAAACTCAGTAGAAAATTGGTTAAATACTTCTTGTGGAAGAAACATTCCCATTATAATTAATTTCACTCCTTTAGTCAAGGTTCTTTCACAATTGAATGTGAAGGAGCAGTTTGTATTAGTTTCTATTACCAAACCCATTGCCATGGGTTTTGACTCACAGCTACCAGAGGACAAGGTAGAATTGCCCCTGTGGGTTTCTGAGAGACCTGCTAAATAACTCACTGCCATTGAATCGATTAAAATTCATAGCAACTCTATAGGGCTGAGCAGAACAGTCCCTGTGGGTTTCCAAGGCTGAAAGTCTTTATAGGAGCAGAAAGCCCCATCTGTCGTTGGAGGAGGGGATGGTAGTTTTGAACTGTTGATATTGCTCCTATGTGCCTATAGACCTAATAAATAGATGCCGAAAAATACTAGCACGTGTTTCTAAAGAAATCAAATTGACATGAAGGAGAGTCATTGGAAATATGAAAAGGTACTTGAATAGAAGTTTACAAGCTGTCTTTTCTCTGTTCCAGACAGATAAAAAAATTAGTATTACAAAACAAAACAAAAAAGGTCATACCCAACAAGAAGCATCCTCTTCCTGGATTAAAGGGATAGTAGAGACGTGCCTCATAGAGTGGGATTAAAGGGATAGTAGAGACGTGCCTCATAGAGTGGGATTAAAGGGATAGTAGAGACGTGCCTCATAGAGTGGGATTAAAGGGATAGTAGAGACGTGCCTCATAGAGTGGACGCTAATAGAAGCACACAGAGCTCCTCATAAGGGCTAGATAAAGAGAGCTACAAGTCCATTTTCGGGGCAATGGAGACAGGGAGAGCTCTACACGTGGCAAGGGACAGGACCCAGGTGTGCTATGCAAAGCAGAGGGCAGCCTACGAAAAGTGACAATGAGTGGTTCACTGAGAGTTCACGGTACAACCGGTGGATAGATCAAACCCTCAACTGGCTCCTGGCCTGAAACTGAACAACTCCAGAGAGAGAGCAGTCCAAATACCCACACAGGCTGTGGTTCTGAACCAAGCTCTCACAGAGGGGAATGCATGCACACTGGAGAAAGGAGAGCAAGAGACCGCAGAAAGTCCGACTTGATGAATTGACAATTGAGAGGATGAGCTTATGAGGGATCGTTGATACACAAGGACAACATTGGAACAAAGGGAATAAACACACACAAGAAAACAAAATTATTAGAGCAATAAGAAAAAGACCAAGTTAACTAAGTTTGAAACTACAGACGTAGCGACATGGCTCTGCTGCCTTCCTCCCAACCGTCAGCACCACCGAAAACTAGTGAGAAAACACAGATAGGAGACTTTAAGACATAAATCTATCCCTCATGTTGACAAGGATGACATACGAAAAGGCCCAGTTGGATATCCTGGAATTAAAGAAATATGCGTTCATTGAAATAAAATGTTAGGAGACAGTAAAAGTCAAAGAAAAGAATAATGAGTAGAAGCTACATAAAACGCAGACTTCATTCACATCAATCTAAGTTCTCCAGAATACCAGGAAAGAAACAGGAGAAGGGAATTATTGTTCTCAGAAAGCAAAGAAAATAGTTACCTGTTTAACAAGCAGCTTCCATACGGGCTGGATTTCCACTTCAATGGCATTGGGTCCGCACACTAGTCTTCTGTAGGAAATTGGTCAACCGTTAGTGCCTTCTCTACAATCTCGCTGATAAATAAATGCGTCCAGGCCAAAGGAAATATAAGTATTTTCTTTGCCCTGTAGGAGGCTCGTGGGGTCAATTAAACAGTTATATGCAAATACAATTTGCATGTGAAACATGATTGCAAACCACTAACACATTTTTAAAATAAAAGTGCATAATACAAAAAATATATTTTTCTGGCTGAAAGAATATTGCGAGTACAGAACAGTTCAGGGGGTCAAGAATGAAATTGCAATCAATTTTTAGTTGAATTAAAAATAATTACACTCAAGCACAGTTAAAGGAACACATATGAAAATGTGTCAAGCTTTCCAGGTCCTCTAGACTGCTCTTGCTCTATTCCTGTTGCCTTGGTATCTTCAATACCTGGGACAGATCCTCCGTGAATGAATTGAATGACTGCATGAAACCCACCAAGGACCCGGAAGGCAGCACAGAGTCTCGGTAGCTCATGTCTATGAAATCCACATATATGTACCCTATCATAAGAATTCCATATATATGTGTAGTATTTTATAATTTACGAAGTTCTGAAAAAACTATTTTCTCATTTAATCCTCATCATCGTCCAAGGAAAGAATTATATCTCAATTTTGTCAGCAGGAAAAGTTATTCAGTGTGGTCATGTCTTGCTAAAGGTGAATACATTGACTATTACTTATGTTAACATACTTTTTAAACAGTGCCAGCACCTTTATGTGCATGATTTCCTTTCACTATAACATCCTCATGAAGTTCCTATTATCATCTCTTTTCTAAAGAAAACTGAAGTTCAAATAAACCAAGCAGCTGCCCCAAGATATCAGAACACTGAAGAGACAGAGCCGGGATTCACACTATATTCTCCATAACTCCAATTCAGAGCTCACCTCACAAGGTGCCAGTGGTAAAAGTCTTCATGATGGTTCTTTGGTCCAACTACTGGACAAGGGGGTACACACAAAAAACCCACAATTGCACCAGGTGGAGCAGAGCTTTCATAATATGCATTTTTCCTCATAGGTGAGCATCAAGCAACTCCCTCTGAGTTAGTGCACCCAGTGGTGTCACCTGGGAAGGTTCTTTCTGGTCACTGTGAATTTTTTCATAAAAGCAGTTTTGCTCAAAACTCATTTTTTTTGTGATGGCCAATTTAAGAGAACAGTGTGCAGTTGTGAAATTTTGTTTCCGGCTCAAGAAAAATGATGCAGAAACTGCTGTGATGTTGAACACAGCTTACAAGGACCGTGCTATGGGAAAAACTCAAATGTACGAGGTTTTCTCGTTTCAACAAAGGTGAAATGTCGATTGATGACAAACCTCATTTCGACGTCTGTCAACTACTGGAACAGATGAAAATGTCAACTCGTAATGCATTTGGAGTTGGTCTATTTAGAGGTTCTAAAAAGATTGCATAACAGTGTGTGACAAAAAAGGCCTGATTTGTGGCAGATAGGAGACTGCTTTTGTCACCACAACAATGCAGCCATTTCAGAGATCCAGTTTATGGCAAAAAACAGTATGCTTCTTTTGCCCCACGCACCTGACTCACCTGACCTCGCTCCATGTGACTTCTTTTTGTCTGCAAATGAGAGGGATATGCAAGACAGCAATTTGACGATGTAGAAGAGGTGAAGGAAAAAACAAGGGAGGTGCTGTCAGCCAGCCAAACAGAAGAGTTTGAAAAATGTTTCCAAGAATGGAATCACAGATTTGAAAAATGTATTAAGTGTAATGGAGAGTTCTTTGAGGTGATAAGGTTGTTTTGAAAAAAAATTTAAATATATAGCTTTGAAAAAAAAGTACCATTTTGCAGGGGGGTACCCCCTCATATAACATAGAGTTGAGGCCAAGTTTGTTTGATTTTGAGGCTCATACTTTTCCAAGTACAATATTGTTTGAAAGGAGCAAAAACAACTTAAATCAATGACTTCTGATTTGATACCATAAAGATATGGAAGTCCAGTCAAGCTTGGAAGTGAGAGGTTAGCTAGCATGCAGGACAATTTGAATTTACAAATCCCTAAACTCATTGTGGGAAGAGACCATAAGGCAAGCCACTTGGGTATCCAGGATTGTTTTCTAGGCTCCATGGGAGTACTTGGACAAGTGTCAGATCTTCCCAGGATCCCAGTCTGTTTACCTATTTCTCTCTTCCCCTCTCTCTGCAACACAGTGCATTATTTAAGGTGGCTACTTTAGTCATAGTGAGGTAGTTAGTTTATTGTGCCAACCTGGCCAATAAACACATGTGGGATTAATTGAAGGACAGAGGGGTAAAAGGCTCAGTGAGCCTCGCCTTTCTATTTTCTCAGGTCGCTTGCTTCGTGATGGTCAGACCAGGGTGCAGCTGCCTTAGCCAGTTCCCTGCTTCAGCTTGCAAGGCTTACTTCCTGCAAGACATCCCTGAGGAGAAGCCACATGGACCTATCCCGATGCAGCACTGGGTGCTGAAGCAGCCGTGTGGAGACCCCTGCCAGTGCTGAGAAGCTTACACATTCACTGACTCGGCTTTCCTCCTGCAGTTGGCATCATTGCATCTGCTTTGTGAGATGAAGGAGGACTTTGTAGATTGGTGTCAGACATATGGGCTAATGTTGGACTTGTGGGCTTGGGCAGCACTGGGTTGGGATGTTTTCTTGATGTGGACTTACTTAATCTTTATATACAACTCTCTCTTATACATGAGTTTCTGTGGATTTGTTTCTTTAAAGTACCCAGACTAATAGACATAGCGTTTGTTACTTCTACCAAATGACCTCACTTTTCCTGAGGAGAAGAAGTTGGGAGAAGATACTGACTGGATTGCATGATGTACTGCGGATGATTGTGAACAAGCATTACTTGTGATTGTCATCCTGCTGGGTTTAAAATCAGCCATCTCAGAAGCAGGAAAATGGGTGTCACCACAGCCAAAGAGAAGAACCAGGAATAGCACTCATCTTTTGGTCCCCCAGATCCCTGTGCATTGACCTGCCTGGATCCAGGAGACTATTGTGAGACCAGAGGAGTGGCAGAGGCGCAGTAGCAACAGCAATAGGAGAACCAGGAGCCAGAGAATGATTCAGAGCAGTGGACTTCCCAACTCACAGAACCAGTCAAGCTGGGTGCTTCGGCACAGGAGAGCGGCTTGTAGAGTGGAGTGTCTCTGGGCATTTAATTGGTGGAGGTAGTTTTGCAGACACAGGAAGTTGGTGCTGAATGCCTTTATGATGGAGTAGCATGCCTGTTGGGCCTTAACTAGCCACCTTAAAAAGCTTTGTAACATTGCCTGTGCAGGACAGAGGCTAGGTTCCTAGGCTGAGACCCAGAGAGAGACCTGCCAAGGAGCATGCCATAGAAGACAGTCTTGACTGAACAACAGTATCCTGAGCTTTATTACTTAAATAGTAACTTATTGGCTTCTCTACTAAACTCTATAACCATGAGCATGCTCTGTGACTTCTGAATGTCCATTGTCATGAGTTATTGAACCTGGATACAGAAGTAGGGTGTTGTAGGGGGACAGTTGGTATCACATAGGGTAGAAGGGGATAAAAGGCTAAGGTGTGTCCATCCTCAACTTTGTGGCAATGAGCCTTGAGAGCCAGAGGAGATGAGAAGTGACCCCAAACACGTTTTTATTTTTGTCTCTCCCTCTGCTTGGAACATCCTTACTTCACAAATATGCCCAAATAGCTACCTTCCAAATTTCTTCATTTTGTAAATGCCTTTAAGAGCCAATTCTGACAGGCAAGACTTATGATTAAGAAATGTGAGTTCAAACTACACTGAATGCCTTAGCCAAAAATCAGAGTCCAGAAATTGATAGAATGACAATGGAAATGTCCCAACAAGCCAATGAAATACTGGAAGTAATTGCTTGTCTGAACTAGGAAATTTAGAAGATAACTATGTGACCAATTGACCGGAAGAGATCCATATTTCTGTCCATTTCTAAAGAAGATAACCCAACAGAATGCTCAAGCTATAGAACACAATTATTGATATTGCTTTCCAGTAAAACTTTCCTAAAGATCATCCAACTACTGCAGCAGCACTGTCTTGACATGGAAATGCTAGCAGCTCAGGCTGGATTCAGAAGAGGGTGTGGAACAAAGGATATCATTGCTAATGTTTAAATGGATCTTGGCTCAAAGTAGAGAATACTAGAAAGATAGTTATTTATGTTTCATTGACTATGCAAAGGCATAGTGTGGATCATAATAAACTGTGGATAACCTTGAGAAGAATGGGAACTCCAGAGCACTTAATTGTGCTCATTCAGAACCTGTAAGTGGATCAAGAAGCAGTTGTGTGAACAGAACAAGGGAATAGTGTATGGTTTAAAATATATAACTATCCTCTAGATCTGTAATATTTCCTCCCCTTTACCATTATGGTCTTTGTTTTATCTCATTATTCTTGTCAGACCTGTGTAGGTTCATTTGTGTAATTAAGATAGTTTGATGCATGAAAGTCAAGACAGATAACCCTTCAGAAACAGTAACAGGAACAATGATTCCCTGACTGGACAGGAAGAGAGGGGGGAACGAAAGGGGGGAAGGGGGAACTAATAGCAATTAGGACTGTATGACCCCACTCAAAGGGAACAAACAATGGCAGTGCAGGTGAAAGGATACATTGGAGGATGTTAGCCATGACAAATAATAATAATAACAAATAATATATAACATTATAATTAGGGTTCTGGTGGGGGGGCAGCTGATAAAGAGGTGCTGATATCAAGGAGCTCAAGAAGAAAGAAAATGTTGGAACTGATGGTGGCAGCAATTGTACAATGAGGTTTTATCTAATTGAAGTATGAATTACTACAATATCTGTAAGAGGTCCCCTAAAATGATTAATGAAAAGCAATAAAAATGATTAAACCATAAAAATAATATATGAATATTTCTTGCCTAATATTGTTCAACATATTGTCCTCTTAAGTTTTGGGTTGTATACAGTAAAATTTCCGAAAGTTTGTGGAAAGTCTC